ATGGGTGGTACCAAGTTTTTAAATTTCTACACTTTTAGAATATTTAACGTTATGTAGGTATATGAATCGGCGATATATATAAATGGATAATAATATTTTAGACTCTATGTAGTATGCGAACTCAATTGAGTATGCTTATTGCTTACTGCTTAATACTATATATATATAATAATAATATGTATCTATTTTACCTACGTCAGACCAGCAGATCCCAATGTCCCCACTGTCATACCGTTGATGTATAACACGCGTCACGCGTGCCGAATCCTGTATAAGAATCATAATAATTATCACGGCGATTTATTTACTATTTTAGTGGATATTTTAATCGCGCGCATACGTCATATTAAACGCCTTTACACACTATAGGCAAATAGTTCACGCGCGGACGCGATTTTAAATCGCCCCGAACGTTCGTTTAAAATTAAACAGATTGTATTAAATTAGACCATTCACACTATGTAAAGCGAGCGAATAAAATCCGCCATCGTCGGCGATCGATCGCACATATGCTTAATTTTAGACGAACATTCGCGGCGATTTAAAATCGCATCCGCGCGCGAACTATTCGCCTAGCGTGTTGGGCCTTAACGGTACTAAAATAACAATATAATAATATAATCACCACTACCTGTAAATCGACGCGATAAGATACGCGTGTAAATTACTTAGTTATTTCAAACGTGAATAGACTTATTTTGTACACAAAAACGCTGTGATATATTATTATAATACAAATAATGCGATACGGTATTGTATGGTTGAGCTGCTCAACAGCAAGTATATATGATATTGTTATATAATAATATAATAACGCAATTTTCGAACACACGGACGTAACAATAGTAATAGTATAATAATAAACCCAAAATGGTCTTCGGAAATCGTGTTTATGGATACACGAGGTTTTTATAATTTTATACCACAATGGGTAACTTAAAGGAGTTTATTTGGCTCGTTTTCGGATACGTTCGGGTTGTGCGGGTCTGTCGTAATTTACCTGCGCTTTCGTGTTGCGTACGATTTACAACAGTAGTTTTACGGATTATGGGGTATGTGGGTACGAAGAACGAAGTGAAAAGAGATGACGCGACGACGAAGGTCATTCGACGGGGCGTCACATTCGTCATAGCGTCATGCTGCAGTCAATGCTTTCGAATTGACATCAATGACCGTTTTATTTTTTAGATTCTTCTCGACGACCGTATGTCACATACATAAACATTACACGCACACTCACACACACACACATGGACACATACGCACACACAAGTAGTGCATCAATGTCTGTCCGTTTTGAAACGCGGTAGTTTTTACGGTGAAATCGAATTTCTGGGAAATCTGCAGGAATAAGGACCTATTGATAATTTTTTTAGCATTTAGCATGTATACATAATACTCTTTGGGTATACACATTAAATGTACACATAATATTACCTATTATTACATATTATTTGTACATTATTTCTACACAAGAGCACAAGATCTTATGGATTCAATCAATTATTTTCATACACGCACGATGCACAAATGATAAACATTTTATTTATACATACCTATAGTTATTTATTCTTGACGATTGTATACACATTATTCAAGTCTATTCTATGGGTAAACCGTAAACTTAATAATTAAAAAAAAACTGTGAATCTTGAATATAATATAATTCAGGACATAAGTATATAATATTATTATTTTCGTCTTAGAAACGGTCAATTATTTTTTTTTTTTAAAAGCCGTAAAAAAATAATATTATATAACAGTAATATATTCATACCTATATGTTGTTATATACACTTCCTGGACATTATTTTATTATAAGAAAAATTACGAGATTAAAGACACTAGAAATATGAAGAGTCGAAGAGATGATAAGTATTTTATGTGCGTGTACTGCGTGTAAATGGCATGCGGTATTTATACCTGCTTAATATTTTTTTACCAATACATATGTATATTATGTTTGTTAAACCTAACGGTAAAATAACTTATAATTTGTTCTAACTGAAAATGTACCTATTGTGGTGTCCTATAGAACAGTAGATAATATAACATTTCTTTTTTAGATTGAACCCAAAGTACTTTATTTTTTGTTGTCTATCGATGACTGTACGCAGTGGCACAACTAGGGGGCACAAAAGAGTCTTTATCACCCACTGGTTCAAATTTAGCACTTCTTATTTTTTCATATTTAACTATTATTATTTTAGTGAAATACTATGGCTCTGTGAGACATTAATAGTTTTAGCACCTCACGTTTTAGAGATCTAGTTACGCCTATGTGTGTATGGAATATTAAGTGAACGTTAAACCGAAATAGGCCAAACTATTTTTGTTTAACTGAGAATTACGTAAATCAGAAATTTAGAATCATTCATTTTCATGTTTTATTTTACAAAAACTCTTCGTCGTACACATCATATAGCCATCTAATTCTGATTTAGAGAACAATATGTAACTATTTGAAGTTTTACGAAAATCTTTTACAAATTTTGTAAGCAAATATATTATTATGTAGTTATGACTGTACATCAATTCAATTATATTGGTTAAAAATTAGTTATTTAAATATTAGAATACATGCGTATACCTACAACAATTTTCATTCAACTTTTTTAAACTGTATACTATATTATTTGTATAATAAATATACTAACTAAATATAATCATATGGCATTAAAAAATCATTATAGTTTAACACTTTAAATTTATATTTTGGTTTCTATTATTGATATGATATACCTAACATTTTTAGTATATAGTTATAATATATTTCAATGAAAACAATATAAAAATTGTATTTTTAATATCTATTTTGAGTTTAATTATTAGAATGATTAAAACTGTTTTAAAATAAATCTTATTTTAGGTACTTTCTATATATTTATTATTGTATATACTTATTTTGTTGTATTGAATTATAATATATTAATTTATGCGTAATATACATCATAAATCATAATATACTGAATATGAAATTAATAAATTGAGTCAACACTCAAGTCATAATTAGTAATTCGTTATTTAATTTATCACAATTATTATATTGTTATTATTGAATCATAGATTTTAAATATTATCCAAGTAAACTGGACTATAATATATTATGTAATATGTATAATATATATATTTATATAATATCATTATATACTTACCCGTCAATAATTTAACTTCGAAAAATTAGTTTATAAAATGATGTGTATGACGTAATATATATTACATAGGTTCATATACCTACATTTTTATAAATAAATACGTATTTTTCATGCGTTTTATCTAATATATATATATAAAGTATATTAGGTAATAACTAATAAGCATAATTATGATGCATTATAATAACTATACCTACATGTTTAATGTTTTTATAATTTTATATCAGGAAATTTTTGTTATAATTATATTTGTAATGTATATTGTATATATAATATATATTCTATTATATATTTATATACCTAAAAAACATTATTCAAAATTATAATTGTATTTTATTGTTTATATATATACAGTTGTCAATATTTTTATTTTTTATTTTAAGAAGGCGTTTAATGCGGTTATTTTAGTAGATACTCATCTGTATACTATATACATATACAGTTTTATGATAATTTCTTAATAAAATATTTCATAGTAAGTTTGGTCAGATTTAACGATTTGCAATAAACTATTTGTCGAATTCGAAATAATAATATGACCTTTACATTTCGTGTATAGAAAAAAAATAAATAAAAGACACCGTTTTAAAAATAAAATTACACGCCTCGCAAGACTATAGTCGCATAAAAATAATATCTCTGGCGTATATCTCGTGCGCGACAAGAATATTTGCGATTACAATCGATTTAAAAACAGATTTTTTTTTTATCGACACACATTTTCGCAGTTGTTTTGTCAACGTTTTGCAATGTATATATTTCAATTGGCCCCCAAACGATGTCGTTCGCGTTTATACGCACACACACACATACGTTTATTATAATAAATATATATATATAAACTGTATACGCATTATATAATACACTGCTGCAGCAACTAGCAATTCGCGCGCGCGTCATTCTATTTATTGCCGCCGATGGGAACGCGCGCGCGCTCTTAATAGAGAGAGAGAGAACTGGACAAAATTTACGAGTTTGAGTTTTCTCGAGGCCCTTTAATTTACACACACACACACACACACATACGCACTCACTCACACGCATGCCGTACGGCGCGAGCTATAAATCGTTTTGGCGCATTTCTGTGTATAGATATATGTGAAGAAAAACGGATTGATATATTATACTGCCGCTTCTGCTGCAGAGTGTTCGAAGCCGTCAGCGGGTTGAAAGTATACGTTTGTTTGAGCGTCTCGCAGACAGAAAGTGTTGTACATAGACGGTATATGATACATGATAAGAGTGATAAGAGAGACGAAATAATCGTAATTGTACATCGGGATATATAACATATTATAATGTAGATAACACGCGAGAAAACTGCACTGTTCTTTTCGTGGCCGAATTAATAAAAGTTAAAAGCTGAAATAATAAAATGCATTCATATTAAACAGTATTAGCAACCTTTAGGTCGCCGATTATAATTTTTAAACGTCATAAATGAAACGGCTCGAAAAAAAAAAAAAAAAAATTGGTTAATTGAATTTTAATAAAATTAACAACTATATAATATTATTGTCTCGGGCAGCGTGCGACAGCAACGACGCGCGTCCGAAAGATTTCCGCGCGGTACAGCGGCGGCATTTGCCATTGACGCGGAGGAAAATCGGCGGCCGCCGTCCGAAAATGTGATCCGGAGCGGTACTGGCTCCGGCCGGCGGCGGGCGGTGATGAGTTATGTGCCCGTACCCCGGAGTGGGCGTCACCGAATGCCGCCCAGACCACGCCTGGGCCGCCCGTGACGTCACGGTCGGGCATACTCGGCAACAATCGGACCGCGCGCGCCGACCGGCGTTACCGCCGTCGTCGTCGGTCCGCGTTGTTGACACCCGTCAGTCAGTGATGGCCGTGTCCGCGTCCGTGGTCTTTGTGCTTATTAAGGGTTCCGTCGCCACTAACGCCGCCGCCGCCGCCGACGCCACCTCCGACACACACTGCGACGCCGTTGTAGTCGGTTGACGATTTTTATTGTTTTATCAGTCGTCTGCTCGTCCATGTAATTTATTATAAACGTCTCACGAACGCGATCGCAAGTTTTATAGTATCGTAACCGCAGCCATTACTATTTTTTTTTTTTTTTGATCATTATTCGTATCTTTTTGTATGATATTTAGTGTTTATTTTTCGAGACTGTTTACGCGTCCGTCTATATAATAATATTGTTACCGGTACGTCGTTACGAATTAATTCTACTTAGTAAGTTTTTGATACTCGCTAAACGAGTCATGTCTGACGACGATCAGTGCTGTTCGTGATTATTGCACGCGAATTTCCGTCGTCCACGCGCACTCGGAAGTCGCGTACTTCACGATCAATCGTGTCTTGTCCGGAGGAAGTATCCCGAACGTCGCAGAAGCCGCCGTACAGAAGTTACGTCACCACGATCATGACCAGAAGGAAGCAACACTGCCCCAAAAGAATGAAATGTGAGTACTTTAAAAGTTATTCTTTTTTACATAGGTGATTTATTTTTCTATTAAAATTTTCATGGTTTCCTCGCGATTTTACGCAAAAGCTCATACAATTATGTAGTCACCCGAGCCAAATTAACATAGATAGGTACAACATGTATTTGAGTATATTATTTTAATGTTGTTATTGTTCAAATATTATTAGAAAACCTGTTTAACGTAGTAAATAGGAAAGTACTTACCTATCATATAGGTATATACTATACAGAATTTCTGTATTGAAATAAATAATCAATTTACGATAGAAAGCTTATGATTTCTTTTTAAAAAATCACAATTTTTGTTTATGTCTTTCCAGAAAAAAAACATAAGTCTTTCATATCACGTGTATGATCGTAAAATGTTCGTAAATCTGCACCATTGTTCGTATATTATACCCACATATAATTTATGATTACGAGATAGGGGATTTATTCGTCAAAGGTTGCCGCTAGGACACCCACTGTTCGTCTAAATGTAGGTAGGTGTATTTAGATATAGATGCGATTTTTTTTTTTTTTTGTGTGATCAGTTGTGTTTGAATATTATATGTAGTTGGTAGTCATTGTTTATGATCTCTGGACGCTATAACATCTAGATACTATTTATTCTTTGGACGATGACGCGAGATCGATTCCTATTCCAATTCCACCTGGTCCACTATTTATATAGATATTCTCATGACTTTGTTGAGGTTTTAAGGGCGAAACTATATGTACAATGTAATATATATTACAGAAAACCCATATAATTGTATAAAAAGGCATCGTAAATTTCGGGCACAGGTTGCTGTACATACACATACACATAAATATTATATATATTAATATAGGTATAGATGATACACGCAATGACTTGCAGGGACCGTGGCGGCGGCGTCGTTATGTTATTAATGATGACCGCGACCATGTTTAACACTTTTTCCCCGTAAACACGCACGTTTTTCGGCGCCTTCTTTTGATCTCTTATTTTTGCCCCCTTCTCAGGGTGACAAATATAAAACGCGTTCTTTTTAGTTACTACAGCTATAATAGTCGTACAACAACTCACATTTGCCGACATACCTATACGATATGACCACGAATTATTATAATATTTTATTGTATATATATTTTTAAACGTTCGTACGTATAATACGGGTAGTATATTATTGTGGTGTATGTATTATATATTTTCATGTATGAGATTTCGTTGTGGGACCTGTTGATGGGTGAGCCGGTGTTTTGCAGCCGGCAGCGTGTTTTGGCGGGTCGGCCGTCAGCTATACCACGGGGGAAGACTGCCGTGCAGGCGGCAGCAACAGAGCGGCGTCGTGGGCTGAGCAGGGGGCGCGCGAGGGGCGAAACGCCGCCACCGCTGCCGCTTTCGATGCCGCGTGTGCGGCTAGCTGGGGGTAAAGCGCATCTCTCTCCTTGTCACTGATAAATGAAACGGGCACGCCACCATATATATATACATAGAATATATGTATACACCACTCTCGTACACGTATTATTATATATAATGCACGTATATAAACACGATGAAGCTTGATTATTGCTCCTTTCCTGGTGCCTAAATCAACAAGTGCGCGTGTAACTTGTACATTATATATATATATATGTATCGTTTTTGGTTCGATTCATATTTATATATACGGGGGAAAGTAGGTTTCTTACTGTTTTGCTTTTTAACCATTTTTGGTGCGGTGAGATTGTGACATAAAATTCCTCTAAAGGCCAAAGGTTAAAAAGAAAAAAAAAAGAAAAAAGTAGGTAATAGCACGACCAAAAAAATGAACACGAAAAAGGTGTGTAGATATGTATAGATAGTGTTTAGCGTGGAATTGGACATGAAACACGTGTGCCATTTATCAGCAATTTGACGTAATTTATACAATAGATAAACGTTTATTTGATTTCGAAAAACTGTACACCAAATATTGTCTCTGCAAAGATGTATGGAAACGGAACTATGAAAATTTATTTGAATGTCATCGTGCATACGTTTATGTGTGACTATTGCGCACGCAAATTCGTTCGAGTAAATATCATTAAAGTAGGTATACTCTATAGCTCTTCTTCTCTATCAATCCGTTTAATAATATTTTAGTTTAAGTATATAATATGATATTAGGTGTTCATGTATATATAATTATATAGGTCACCTCGTGGATGTGTTTCCGGAAAATATTTGTTTTTCAAATAATAATTAATTGCTAGTGTGTATAAAATTAGAAAATTCGTTATAAAATATCACAGTTCGATGTTGGTGGTCGTCTGTGTGTGTGTTAACTGGTCGTTTTTAATTTTTGCTTTCGTTTCGAGTGTGGTTTTATTGTTTTTGTTCTAAAATACGTCCCGATAAAATATTAGACATTAGTGTCCGCCGTTGTGACGACTTGCCACAGAAATTACATCATTTCACGTTACATTTATATTTAATCTCGAGCGTGTAGATAGGTTATTGGACGTATCCCAAAATTGTTTTAATCGTTAGAAATAAAGAAAATGTTACATACAGAAATGCATAAAAAATATATGGTCTGCGCCTAGACTAAAATTGTAGTTACTCTAATAGAACAATTATTTATACGTATTAATACATAATATTTATGAACCCAGAAATCGTTTCGTAAATCGTAAATCGTGAATGTTTCTTTTCAATTATAATATAATATAATACAATATAATATAATATAAGTACATATAATGTTAGTTTAAAAATGTCGTAACATTAAAATAACAACTAAGTGTAAATGGTAATTATCTTTAATGTAAAAGTTATTTGATTAATATTAAATTTTGGATTTATGTTAGTAGATACGTTTCAATAATATATAGATATTGGTCATATTAGTCGTAAATAAGTAAATTTTGTAAAAAAAACGTAAACAATCGTGGTTTGGATATTATTGTGCTTGTATGTTGTTCACTGAATGTATTATGGTGCGTTTCTGTATTCAAATTGTTTTTGGCTCATAATTTCTCTTTTATTATTACCTGCTTCTTTGACTTGGTCTGTTACACCTATCTGTCATTTATTATCAATTTTACATTTACAGTCTACAATCTACATTGTCGTCGCTGTATAGTGTATAGTAACGTTATTTGATATTATGTTTTATTGGGAATTTTATTTCGTTTCGTTATCATATCAATAATGAATAATGAATATAAATTATTTAATTAAGTCTTCATGAACTGAAAATATTTTATATTTATACTCTATATAAACATATTATACTAATGATTTGTTACCGTCCATAAAATGAAGTATCATGATAAAGCAAACTTCACACATACGTATATATTTATTCTATTTCAGTTTTCTTAATCACAGTAGATACTTACGTCCAATTATATTTTTAGTTAATGTTAATTATTGATAATTAATGATATTTAAATAAATTATTATGGTTGAATTCGTTATTCCATAATAAGTGGATAACTATACTTTATATTTTATATATTAATAATATCAATTTTAAAAAATTAATTTTTTTTTAAATTTAACCGATAAAAAGAATCATATATATGTGTGACAAAGTGGATAAAATACAACATTCCTTAGAAGTTTTCATCATTACACGATATTTTCCATTTTCGGACTTTGTTGAATATTTTTAAAAGATGGTGGTGTACCTAGTGGGTATATTAGATATATGGATTGAATAATAATAACTCGTAATAAAATGTGATTTATTTTATAATTACGTCATCTATATATATTTAGCGTGTATATTTAATAACATCGGATAAACAACATAATGAATAAAAATATTACATACATGACACAGGAACGTATGCAAAATCGCCGATGAATTTAAATAGTAAATACCTAAAATCAGCGTGTAAGTTTGTTTTTTCGTTTGTAGACGACTTTGTTTAATAATTGATTACCTACGATAGTATAGTCACGGCGATTACGATGATATGTCCGTTGAGGTGTGTCAAAAATATAAAACATTATTGAAAAGACTCGAATAATAAGTGTTTTAGTGAATAGGCGCCTATAATAAATTGGTAATGTAAATTAACGAACGCTTTAATACATATACATATTAATATAGCGTGTATATATTTTTAGGCGAGACCATTTTCGACCAAATTTAAAATAGATCGATTCCCTTTTTGATCAAAATCGTACTCATCCCTTTTCGGCCAAAACAAAATTTTATGTAATGTACCTATGTAAAAAATAAAATAATTGGTATATAATTTTTTTGTAAAATTAAAGCGATTGTATAATTGTATAATTTTGAAAATGATTAAAAGTATAAATTGTAAGACAAAATTTGGAAAATTATATAAAATATAAGAATATCTATATATTAACATCATTTTTATGTTAATATGTCACAAACCTACTTTTGTGGTTTAAATTTTATTTTTTTATATAATATTATACATATTACATACTGTGACATATTGACATAAAAATAGTGTTAATGTATAGATATTCTTATATTTTAAATAATTTTCTACATTTTCTACTTTTAATCATTTTTAAAATTAAATAATTATATAATTGCCCTAATTTCACAAAAATTATATATACCAATTATTTTATTTTTTTTACATGTATTATAAAAAATTTTGTTTTGGTGGTCAAAAAGGGAATCGGTGTTTTTTTAAATTTGGTCGAAATATGAATCGGCCGAAAAGAGAAGGGTACGTTTTTGGTCGAAAACGGCCATGCCCATATTATTATGAGATAATTATGTAGTGACGGGGTGAGAGGACGCGCTTACTGTGTATTATTCAACATATTATAACGGAACTGGATTAAGTGTATAATAAAATAATAGACCGCGGCGTTGTAGGTATTTATAGTGGGGACTCGGTGATAAGGACATACGTTTTACTGCCTATACATTGTTTGTCGTCAGTGTAGTGTTCGTTGTTGTCGCGGCCAAGGGTTGTAACTGCGCGAGTGTATAGTATATATATATATTTAATACGTGTGCTGTGCTTGGAGACGATGTTTTCCCGTAT